ACACACACACACACATCCTGTGACCTCTCTTGCTGACAGATAACAGGCCTGGGGGTTTGGGGGTACTTTTGGTGAGGGGAACTGTACAAACCCCCAGTAGACACATCAACCCCCCAAGCACTGAGGCTGGTATATACCTGAGTCCAACAGTTGTGTGTATGTGTGGAAAATGTGTGTGTGGGATGGGGGTGGGGGGTACGTGGGTGTTGGAGGGCCACAGCAGGACAAGGAGGACAGGGAAGCGGAGGAGGTGACAGAGAGTGTCTCTGGCAGCCCGACTGCTGGCCTCTGGATACTCTACTTCTACTCTGGGCCGCCAGCCCTTCTCACTGATGCACTAATGAAAGACAAGACAGAGCTGGACGGAAAACACAAGCAGACACACACACTCATACACATATTACAGAGAGAAACGGGAGAAAGACTCAGTTGCTCAAAAAAGGTCACTTTATAGCATGTGACTCAAAGGGCTAAGGCAGATCGTGACGATATGCGCCTGGACGGGTGACAGCGATGTCATGCGTCTGCTCTGGGGCTGTTGTCTTTGACCCCTGGCTCCATACAGCCCCACTTGACCTTAGAGACACAACTGAAAATGGGCAAATAATGTGGATGTTCGGTAATGACCATTTCCAAAGCAGCTGGTGGGGTAATTATTCTGTCTCATCTCTCTCTTTGCCTCTTATGCTCCCTCTCTCTCTGTTTTGCCTCCCTCCATTCGCATCTGTGCGAGTCTCTCGTCAGGCAGAGCCGTGACCTAAACAGTTTGTGACAGCTTTCTGGGAGAGTGGAGCTGGAGACTAGGCATGCCTCGCAGACCTGAGAGTAGCAAAGGTTCTCTCACGTCTTTCACAGTGGAAAAAAAACATGCACACTCCTTTTGTATCTAAAAACCCAAGCACATATGGACACACATACACAGGCACACACGCTGCCCCAGATATAGCTTTTTATCATGCATCACAAACATGCAAGCACACATGTGTGTGTCCATTTAATGGAGCTGCACTTCATTATTCAAAACCTCGTCTGAATGTAGCTGTATATGTCAATCACTTTCTGCCAGATGGCGAGTTAGTGTGAGAGTGTGTGTTGAATGAATCTGTGTGACTGTGGGTGTCTTTTGCTCGTTTAGCCTGTCAAGTTTAGCCAATTCTACTCATAATAGCTCAAAACCTTATGCCCAGTCACTGAAAAACATTTCTTTTCAACTCCTGACATTTGGCATTTTCTCCAAAACAAAGATCCTCGGGGCATTTTTGTATGTGAGCTGATGAGGGACTTTTTCCAAGCGAGCCTCTCCAGAATGATGGTATTACAAAGACTTAAACTAACAAAAAACTAAACTTGGCACCGTGCTACTAGAACAATTACATATGTCAAACTGTTGAAAAATTGATCAAGAATTGTTTCCTACCAGTAGGATCCAGCAGGGCATTGGCCGCACCCCAGCGGTGGTACAGGGCAGCCAGTTCATGGGGGCTGTAGTTTTTGAGGAAGCCGAGGACGTCAGTTGGCATCTCCGGTGTCTCTGCAATTGGCTCCTGCTTCACATCTCCCTGAGCCTCTGAGGGCAAAGAAGAGGAAGAGGAGGAATTCAGCAGAGTGCCTCCATGTGCCTGGGATGCTCCGTAGTTGTGTCCTGCTGTGGAGCTATGGATGATGGTGCTAGGTCTCGTAGCGTTTGCCCGGCCCTGGCTGTGGGAGTTGGGAAGGGGCTGATGAGTGGAACCCCTAGCTCGGCTGTACTCTGCGAGGCCATGTTTGCTTGAGAGCATGAAGCCCAGGCCCTCTTGAGGCATCAAGTGGCGGTCAGCAATCCTGGATGCTGTAGCAGAGCTGGGACTTGGGGCTGAGGAACGTGAGAGGGCACCAGTGCTCTTCTCCAAGGAGCTGGAGGAAGACAATGGGCCTCCCCGGGGGTAAATATCCACTTTAGGTCTGAAGCGAGACTGATGTCTCTGGTCCTCCATGTGTCTGACACTGCTGCTGGTGCTGCTGCTTGGCCGGACTGGGACTCTCCCAGCTGGGGTGCTTGAGGTGGATGAGGAGCCCCTGGAGAACGAGGAGGAGGGGGTAGAAGAGGATGATGATGATGATGATGATGATGATGAAGGCATGGCTGCATGACTGGCTGGCTTGCTCTTCTTCAGAACCTCACTTGAGTAGGTTGGGGGCCGGGTGCGTTGAGCACGCGTCAGTGGAGGCAGCGATGGACACTCCTTTCCCTCCAGGACTGGCGGGGGACCAGTGCGTCTCCTGGAGGATAATAAGCTGTCCCTCGAGGCCTTGGAGCTGTTTTTCAGGGCCCATTTAGGAGCAATATTTGAGCTACTGCTGTTGATGCGGTGAGCCACAGTCTGATGCATCCAGAGCACTTCGGGGTAGCGGGTGGAGTGAGAGCAGAAGGAGCACTTGTGGTTAGGGAGGCTCTTCCTGTCCAGGTTTAGGGAGGCTATGCCCCTGCAGCCCTCAGCCCTCACACATAGATCCACAGGGGTCATGCTGGGATCAAGTGGGGAGGAACGAGCTGAAAGGTAAGCAGGAGGGGATGCAGAGTTGCTTGAACCCTGAAGAAGAGCTTTTTTCAGCTTGGGATAACCACTGGGGGTACCTCTGTCCGAGCTGGAGCTGGGGCTGGGAATGGGACTGGGTCTATCTTCGGGAGCAACACGGACATGATTTGAATAAGTCTTCAACTCTGTGCTGACAAAGTCACAGTGGCCGCTGATGTAAGGCTTCTCATCTGTAGGGGAAAGAAATGACATCAAGTTGAATGACTGTACAGAAATCATGTACATTATTCTCTTCTCTACTACCAGCTATAAGCCAGAGGTCATTACATCTGTTCGCTTTGCCAGATTGTTCCATTCAGATGTAGTTTTGGTGAACAGCCACCAGGCTGCAGTATTGGCTAGAATTCCCACATCTCCTCTATTCATTTTACATGTGAATGTGTCCTGAAATGTTACATATCATTGAATAAACACCTTTTTGTACATAAAACAAATCAGATATTATAAGGCTTATAAGGGCCGTAGACTGGGATTGCATTGGATTGCACGTGTGTTTACTGTATTTAGTCAATATTGCTAATTCCTGAAGTGCAGCTTCATAAATCCCCCACAAGATGGCGTTTGTGACCTGCCAGCCAAGTCAATTTAACTGTTATCACTGGAAAACTTTATATCTCCCAGAGTGCTAGATTTCAGAATGGAGGAGAATAGGAATACAAATAAAAACAAGATTTATGATAGTATAAGTAGCTGCATTCACGGTGGTTGTAAAAGGTTATTAAATGTAAAGGAATGTAAAACATGAAAATTCTCATGTTGGAATTCAAAGAGATTTTGAACATAAAACCAAAGAATATTACACAGTGGCTGGGTCATAGAGCATTATATCATCTTACACACAGACCCCCCCCCCCCCAAGNNCAAGTCTGTAATAGCACAGTATGGTACTCTCCACTACCCCTCCTCTTTTTTACAATAACACCAGTAACCTGCCATCTGTTTTTCATTTGGCTTCCTGTTGGCAACACTGGCCAACACTCACAGCTCAGACTCTGCCAAGGTAAAGGCCTGGGGGTGGGCAGTGTAGTAGGGAAGGTAGTTGGACTGATGTGTCCTGTTTATTGGTCATGTATTAATCAATCGTGACCAGTCAGAGCCACAGTAATTGAAGTAGGTAATTGAATATCCTTACTGTCAATAGCTTTACTCGAATTCTTATTGCACTTACAAAGTAAGTAATTAGTCCAATCCTGAATGAGAGTCACACTTGTCAGTCTTGCATATTCACACATGCACACAAACATAAAAACACACATTAAAGGTCAGAGTAAGGCAATTAAGACAAAGTATGCAATAGTGCTAATGGTCTGTCACTGCAGTAACCCTTGTCTTGTAAAGGGTGGAGTAAACCACATCCATCCTGGAAACAAACATCATAGCAATTTTATCTATCCATGAAGTGATATCACTGAAACCTACCAAAGTAACCCCAATTTCACACTTGCATAGAACTGTTCAAAAGAACAGCAGATGTCAGCTCTCAACAGGAGTGAAACTCAACTGAAAAATGCATAAAGTTGTAGCTTCAATAACCACAGCTGTGTGAATGTTTTTAATCGCTACTATGCTTGTGCAATAATTACCACCAAGAAAAATGTTATTAATCTATAACTCATTTGTCTAAAAGCCTCTAATGCTGGTTTGTGCATGTATCCTGTCACTTCTCATTTGCATTCCCAAAAAGTAGCTAAATGGCTGTAAGGGACATCAGAGTGTTTGTGACTAGAGTGTCCTCTGAGTGTCTCTTTCCCCATTGCCTGCATCCCTCTCCATCGGGAGGTGACTCTATAAATAACCAATCCCTCAGACATCAGGCAGCCTGGCTGGCTCAATGGTAAGAAGAGTGGATGAGAGACAGTGGAAGTATCACAGGAGGTAACCTTAGAGATTAGGAAAGAGTCAGAGGGGGCATGGAGGAAAGGTATAGAGCAGAAGGATGGACGGATAGACAGAAGCCTTTAAATCTTGACAATAATATTCTCTTAGTAAATGCTGAATTCTTATATTTGGCTTTGTCACAAATATTAATGCATTTCATTAAATATCAGCAAAGAAATATTTGCACACTGTGTATATTGAGCTATACAGTACATTTATTAATATAAAGGAAGTTCAAACTGCCTTTAACTGGTAGAGCACAGGACTGTTATTATGTTTCATAACTAATGATTGCTTGTTATACAATCAACAATATCAGTGGAGAGTAAAAGGAAACAGAAATGCTGACAGATTTTCATGGCAAAGACATAAAAAGGAGAGCAAAAAACATATTCACACACAGATAAGGGGGGCGAGGGGAGTTTCCTGAGACAGGAAGACCTGAAATAGCACACAGCTCGATCAGGCCTGAAGAAATGTTGCTGCTATTTTTGAATGTCTGTACTAACAGGGAGGAATAGAACCAATCACTACAATTCTTAGTTATCCGCTATCCTAACCAGTACAAATACTGTTTTGTAGAGTTTGAAAGTTAAAAGACAAAAGTCTGAGAGCTCTGAAGTGCTGCATACACAGTAAATCCTTCCTTTATCATATTTCAGCCATGATTGTGGGTGTTTTGCCCTTGCATGGGTAGGTTTTCTTTTTTTGCCCTGCAGTGTTTATTGGTTGTGGAGGTAAAAAATGACAGGCATTCCAAAAATGCCCTATGCTCTACCAACATGCCACTGAAAGGCACAAAGTTTCACTAAACTGTTGGCTTTATTGCTCTGTGATAGAAAATAATTGCACTGTTGTAAACAGAATTTTAAGTGGTAGTTAAAGTTTATTGACCATATTTGATAGTATTCGTGAGCAGCACTCTATAAAAGATCTGGAGTCGGATGTCATTTTGACATTTAGCCACACGGAGGCTCCAGTTCCCACTCGTTTGAGACTGATGAGCTGAGGAGGTGCACCTACACAAAGCACATTTCATCAACAGATGTTTACTACAGAGTGACAGACTCAGAGGCCTAGGGTGGGAGGCTTGAAAAAGGCTACAGTTATTTCTGCCACAAAATACTCTGCAGAGTATGTTTCTATTAGTAAACTTATGTATTTACCATTCCTTTACTAGTATAGCAGTTATATTTTCCTATTGTTTTATGGTAGAAAGTTGAGACAACATCTTAAAAGGGTTAATAGAAAAGTGACTTGGCAATGTTGGTGAAAAGCACTGAACGAAAGACTATCAAAGGAATCTTTTGTTTTATGACCTTCAATTTGTGATGCTTAACTGTTAAAGAAAAAAGAGATCACAAATCTGAGTCCCAACAGCACATTATACAGTAATCATAAGTACAAGTCTTACTTCCTTTTTATTTATACTGCATATTTGACTAAATGATTAGAATTAAGTTCAAAGCAAATCCCAAATCAGTCATATTTACCACCAATCATATTGAAGATAAGTTCTTCAATAGTTCTTCAATACTATTGAAAAAATATAAAATTTTTCCTTTCATTATAGATGATCAGTTCAAATCAAAGTACTAGAAAAAACTTATAAAGAAAGACTGAAGTTTTGGACTAACCTGTAATCTCTCCAGAATTTGCAGTACCCATCTCTGAGGCCTGGTCTCCAAGGGTAGAAGCTGGTGGAGAGTCTCCATACCCCGGGGTACTGGGCCGGCTAGGGGAGCCTGACTCTGGATCACTGGTGGAGCCCCATCGGTCATCTCTTGCAGATCTGTCCTTGTCCCCCACAGATGCCCTTCCTCCATCCTTTCTGTGGACCCGCTGGTGAACAATCATTTGGTGACGACTGCGAAACACCTTCCCACACTCAAAACACTCGTTGGACTTGGAGGAAGCTTGTGACTGAGATGATCGTCGTCGGTCCTGGCGAGACGAAGGCCGGTATTCTGAGTCACTGAAGCTCTCTGGTGTCCGGTCCCCTGAAGAAGCATGGCTTCCAAAACCAGTGCTGCTGCGTCGCCCCGAGCTGCGTTTCTCTTGACCTTGCAGGACATATCTGCTGCTCTCCTTCTCAAAAACCACAGCAGCCCCGGCCAGGGCCTCCTCACCCATACTTCCTCCCCCGTATGAGGCTTTGGAACTTGGCTCCACAGGCTCCACAACCCTTCCTTTAGTAGCTAATTGCCAGGCTTGGTAGCTGCAGACTGGATCTAGCTCTAGGATTCTTTGACCTAGCATCTTCTTCTCACTCTCTTCCTCTTCATCCAGGGTTTTATCCTCAGCTGGCTGGAGGTTTAAGTACTCAAGGTAACGTCTCTTAGCAGCTGGTGAGTCCTCATCATCACTGAGTTTGCACTGGCTCTGGGTTTTTCTGCCATAGCAGAGACTATGGACTTTTTCATGGACCCTCAGGCTCTCTCTGCTGTGGAACAGGTTCCCACATTTGGAACACATTTGATAGATGGATGTGACAGCGCCAGTGACAATATCAGGATCCTGGGCTACGTCGTTGATGGTGGCTGGTTGCTCAGCCGAATCTGCTTTTGACCTTGACCTGGATTTGGTGTTGTGTGTTTTCATGTGCGATTTGAGAAACCAAGCTTCGCGGAACCGTCGTCCACAAATACGACAGCAGTGGTCCAGGATCCCGGCATGTTTCTTCATGTGTGACTTCAGAAACCAGGCCTGGGTAAAGACTTGGCCACAGGTCTCACAGGGGAAGGTCCCATCGTTCTGGGGTTGGAGGACATCAGGTTCGGCCACAGCCTCTTCCTTAACATTGGTCTCTTCCTCTGTGTCTGCTGTTATGTGGACCTTTTCAATATGGCTGAGGAGCTGGTCTTCTCGCAACGCCTCATAGCCACACAGACGGCAACAGTAAGGCCTCTGGTCAGTGACAGACTTCTCTCTTTTCATGCTCCTCCCAGGCACTTTCCTCCGACTCTCTTCACTGCTATCCCCATTTATCACCCGGTTACAGGCTGAGCTGCTCTTAGTTGGACTCGTACCTCCGTCGAGACCCTCTGAAACACTCATCTCTTCCTCCTCAGCCCCACCCTCTTCATCCTCATTGGAGTGGTGGCTAGAGAGCGTGCCCAGTTTGTGGCTGCGAATGTGAACTTTGAGGTTGCCCTTCTGAGAAGCCCTGTGGTCACAGTAGGGGCATTTGTAAGGGCGTGCACCTGTGTGGCGTCTCATATGCTGCGACAAAGAGCTGAGGAAAGGGAAGCTGCGTCCACAGATGTTGCAGTCATAAGCCCCTGGGATTTTGTCATCTTCACCCTCAACCTCGTTTTCAGGGTTGACCTTGTCTCCAATCAGCTTTTCCTTCTGACTTTCTGCCTGGGTCTCCATCATCTCCACACTGTCTCTAGGATTCATTGTACAAACTAACCTACCCTGTCTACCTGGCCTTTCGCAAGCTCGGTAAAACTTGAAACTACTGCTATCTGCAGCTGGACATCTAGGGATGTCTAGTGTGCCTTTGTTGGTAAGTTAAAATGCTATCTGCCTTCAATCATCCAGAGATCAAGCTGCTTACACAGCAGCTCATTCAGCACTCTCCAGTTACTGGACGCACCATCTATCCATCTTCATCCAGCACTGTCAGTGTGAATCAGTTGCTCAAACTACCTGCGTGCATAGAAAGCAATGCATGTAGCTTTATCATTTACTTTGACACATGTAGGGAAATGTCAACTCGTTTTTAAGCTGAATAAGTCCCAGCATATAAATTACGACTGAGATTTCACAGTCTCTTTGCCAAAAGAGGGTGGAGGTTTTCACTCAATTCCAGGTCATCACTGTGTCAGAGGAGAGAAGTTTTGAGAGGTATTTTCATCAGCGTAGCTAATCCACCACACTTCCTTTCTTCATTTTATTGGCTTCTCTTCATTGTCTTCAATTTTAAGCACATTAGCCGCTTCCAGGTCATGAGATCCCTATTGCACGGCCTGCATATCTTTTACCTGAGAATGAAGGAGAGAGAGAGTTTGAGGGAGACAAAGTGGGGAGGAGGGTGAGAAGAGAGACAAAGAACATGTTAGTAAAGCAAAAGGTTGGTGATCATCACAAGGCAAATCACCAATAGAAATAAAACAAAATCCAAGATATCTTTAGAAACAATTTGTGATTTAAAGTGTAAAGTGAAAAAGTGAAAGAGTTTTATAATCAAAATAAAGTATGACACCAGTAGCTATAGTTAAATGTACCTCTTTTTATTGACAGATTTGTTTACCCCTTCTTAAACCCCCCAAATCTGTTGTAATTTAAATGAGCTTGAATTTATCCAATAAAGATTTACATCAGTATAAACTGAGTGTAGGTGGGTTATGTATCGTGTATAAAGTCTGCTATGTATCTGTGGCACCACTATACACAAGCGTGTGTGTTGTGATTGTGCATGAGTCGTGCAGGGCTTGGGGGCTCTGACGCTACACTGGCTGAGTCGACACTTTACACAATC